GCAAGTGTCGGCGCGCAAATGTCACGCGCGCAAATGTCGTGCCACGCTGAATTTAACCAATAGGGTGTGTGCGTGTCTGTCCATGTGAGTGTGGAGTGGATAATGCTGTTGGTCTATAGGACTGGGCGAGTTTGGGTGTGTAAGGAGTGACTATTCTTTCTAAACATCACCTACACCCACACCCACGTCCACATACATACATTTCTTTCGATAGGGTACCGCGGAAAGACAAACACACCCTTCTTGAATTGAAAATTTGAATAATTGAATACCTGAATGGTTGAATAAAAAATTTGAATAATTAAATAAGTGAATGGTTGAATTGAAAATTTGAATAATTGGATACGTGAATACACATATCAAGTTAGATACTACTGGTACGTAGCTAAGGCTAAACATATGCAAGCTTTCAACGTTTCATTTGCTGACATCCATACCATCAACGTCATGCATATGATTAATACTTCAATCACACAGCACATAATCTATTCGTAAATGTAAGAATATATATTCTTTCAGAAAATCGAAAATTAAGGATTTGAATATCAATCAAAGGATTAATTTAACGAACTATAAGCGAAACAGATTCAAGAACGATGGATAGTCGGAAGTCGAGAGGCCTATATATAAAAAACAGATTGTGATTGAGAACTGAGTAGTATTAGGAACAAGAAGATAAAGTAAGTGGAAGCCAATGATGGTATTATTTTTATGTATCTTGTTAGTTTCTTTTATAAGTAGCGAATCACATTTCCGCGTGCGTTCAAATATCTCATTTAACAAAACTTGATATGAACAGTAGTAAGTTGATATTGTTTTACAAATGGCAGAAGACAATCAGTGTTGTCTTTTTCAGAACGATCCATCTTCGTGGTACTGAGCGTTGTCGTCCTCTGTACGACAACAAGCGCAGTGAGCTCGAGTGAAGCATTCACACGCACAAGTAAGCACATCTTGAAATCATCAGTAGCACTATGTGGATGCTTGATCTACGAAACTGCAAGAATTCATGATGCTCATTAAATTAGTCCTTTCTTCATAAAAATAAACATATATTATCACTCTATAGATAGTGATGAGCAGAATGATGTTTTAATGTTTTTAGTATACTTTTGAATCATTTTCGGCTATAAAGAGAGACCATCCATTGATCCAACTGGGATACCTTATAAACCTTTTCAAAAGCCCCGATTTTTAGAAGATTGACAAGAGCCACTGAAACAAATTGGCAGAAAAATCTAATATATATAATTCGGTGCAGCTTTATCTTCTCATTTAAACGGTGAAAACTGCAACTCTCTATTTGGCTTCTATCAAAAGTTATTCAGAAAATACTGACACTGTTTCTTTTTGAAGTGACAATTAGTAAAGTGTCGACTCTATTTTAAAAACGCAAGCTAAGGCTAATGTTTGCTATAAAATCAGTTCGTTTTGGACAGTTTTCACACAGAAAATTTATTTCCAAGGAAAATGAATATCATACTCGAAATCAGGGTCAAAAAATCGAGTCAATGGATACATATTTCATTCAGTAAAAGTTTCAATCGAAGTATCAACTTCCCTTCATTTCAGAACTTTATCAATGGAATTTACCTATGCTCCTAATCGACTGATGTTTTCATAGAAACTTTTCGTGAATGAAATATGTGTCATTCGGCTCGATTTAGGACGCTGCTTCTGACAGAACCTACCAAAACTTTTTTTATGGGAGCCTTGCAATTAGTCCCAAGGCATACGTGATAAATTCTATACAACTCATTAGAACATATGTACATTGTTGCAGTGTGGAGGCACTGAAATATTATCATAGTTATTAAGTTCTAATAAGCTCTAATAAATCCTCGAGAAATAATTAGATCCCTTAGAAAAGCTTTATTTAGAAAAAGCAAATGCCGATAACTGCTTGTTAGTAAGGCTTATACTTGAATATTGATAAAAATTTCCAAAACACAGGTTTTGAAATCAATACTTCTCATATTGTTTCAATAAAAATCAGTACTACATTAATCGAAGAAAATGCAAAATAGAAGTTGCTTAATTGTCAAGGATATTGGAGAATGCCTATTCCATTAAAACTCGATCTGAAAGTTTACTACATAAGTTTCACAACATGGACCATAGAGTGAATATAACTAGAGTTAACTTTGGAATTTGTACATCTTTTGTAAGAAGGGTAGAATGCTTAATGACTTCATAGGTTTTCTCTTCGAAGATCTTTCAGTTGCAAGAATGCTAAAGTATTTCTTGTTTTGTACGATTCGTCATCAAAAAGTTTCGCGTAGATAGATTTGAACTCTTAATACTCATTTCTATGAAAACATCGCGTGAAGATCATGCGTCAATTTGGACTTTCTCTATACATTCATTTACACCCATCTACTAGTAGCTACACTTATCTGCTTCCACTCTCATCTACTAAACTACACCTCTGCCCACACTTCCCTCGCCATCAACTTTACATTCTTTTTTAAATATACACTTCACCACTTATTCCCAATTGCTTTTCACGAAATCCTGCATCATTAATGAAGCTGAAGAGAGAAGGATATTAATCAAAAGTTGTATTTTAGACGATCAACAAAGGGGCAAACTTGATGGAAGAGTAGCCATTGTGACAGGATCGTCCAAAGGAATTGGAGCCGGTATTGCCAAGCATCTTGCTCTTGCAGGAGCATCTGTCGTCGTGAACTATTTATCGAGTAAACAAGATGCTGATCGTGTTGTTAATGAGATTTCTAGCAAAGGAGGCAAAGCAATTGCAGTCCAAGCCGATGTGAGGAAAGAGGCAGACATTAAACGTTTGTTCGCCAAAGCGAAAAGGACCTATGGTACACTTGATATTTTGGTCAATAATGCAGGTGTCTACGAGTTTCGATCGATTGAAAATGTTACAGTTGAGCATTATCACAAACACTTCAACCTCAATGTACTTGGTGTGATTCTTTGCAGTAGAGAAGCTATAAAATATTTTGGTTCTACCACAAATGGCACAATCATCAACATTGCCTCGGTCGTAAGTGCAGAACCGGCTCCGCAGCTCACTGTTTACAGCGCAACCAAGGCAGCTGTGGATGCAGTAACAAAAGCTCTTTCAAGGGAATTGGGCCCACGCAACATACGTGTTAATTCTATCAGACCCGGTACAACTATCACGGAAGGGACTATTGCAGCTGGACTTATTGGTAGTAGCTTTGAAAGGCAAATCATCGCGCAGACGCCACTCGGTCGCCTCGCTCTGCCCGATGACATTGCACGTGTTGCTGTTTTCTTAGCATCAGATGATGCTGCATGGGTCTCGGGCGAAAATTTGAGGGTAGCCGGCGGCTCTGTTAATTGACTGTTGACTTTCGAAAAGCCTCATCTTCTTTAAGGCATGCATGATTATTCGCTGAGAAATAAAAACATCCTTGAATCGCATAACTATGTTATATTAATCCGAAAAATAAAAAATAAAATGCAAATGATCACGATAAAAATTTGAATTGAAAGCACGTGGATGTGAGTGATTGAGAGCGTTCAAACAAATCCTACATTCCATAATTTTTTTCTCTGCTTCATCCTTGTGCAGCTTGATTCCTTGAAATCAAGAATTACATATTTTGTTCTATTCATTTGAATATATTAGAACATTGATGATATATTTTCCTTTGATAATCGCTTCTGAGGTCTTACTGTCCTTGGTTTATGAACAGGATTAGAACAGTCTACGAAGTAGTCTACATATCTGAAAGTAAAACTTCTTAGATTTTGTAGCTGCTCCGTGCATGCAGGATCTAGAAACAGTGTCGCTAGTATGTAGTTGCAACGACATTGATCGAAAATGAAACCCTATGCAGAACCAATTCTTTTTGACGTTGTTACTATATTTGGTTAGAACGCTATGTTCTACTAGTAGTAGACAATTACAATCAAGAAAACAATAAAGAAAACTATTATTACTGGGACATCTGTGTATAATGGGAATCATTTAGATGTACTTTCCGAGAAGTGCTGCTTTTACAGTCATATAGTATCAGCAGATGCTTTTTACTTTTGCGACAGTCTGTTGACTTCTGAGTTATCATGATTTTCATTTTGGACACTATTTCCAATATGTTGAAATTTTACTTGTTGTATTCGAAACTGACATGAATGCATTGTCCGCTGAGTCCATGATACTCGTTCATGGAATGATAATTGTTCTGCTCCGATTTTCGACAATGTCTTTCATTGTTCCTATCGGTGCATCTTATTTCGATTACGAAGATGATTCACCGACACTTGCGTGCGCGACATTTCCGCGCCGACACTTGCGCGCACGACAAATGCGCGCAGCGACATTTTCGCGCACGGCACTTACGCGCAACACGAAAATTTTTTCGATGTTAATTTAATTATTCTGTGAAATTTTTGAACCACTATTTATTGAAATAATATTTATGAAAAGCAAGAATTATACAAGTAAAGAAAAGGCCATAAATAAATAAGATTTACAACTAGTAAATAGTAAATCAAACATTCAGAAATGATTCAGAAAAGGCCTTTGCAATTTCGTTTAATACAACGCCAAACTAATCTATCTCGACGATAACGAAAACCGTCGAGAAGAAGTTGGTCTTTACCCTTGATTGATTGAATCATAGACATTTTTTATAGAAGTTGTCGACAAGATGTAAATATTAACGAATAATTTATTTATGCTTATGTTTCATCTCCTACATCTTGTTTTTATTTTAATTGTATTGTATTCCTCTTTAATAATTAATCTCATGATCTCATCGATTTTTTTATTTATACAAATTGATGCAATAATGTGGAAACAGAACACTCTTTTTTATTCACATTGATGAGTTTAACTAATCAAACAATATGGAGAGGAAAAAATTCATTCTAATGCGCGTAAATATCGTGCGCGCAATTGCCGTTGCGCGCATTTGTCGTGCGCGTAAGTGTCGGCGCGCAAGTGTCGCGCGCGCAAATGTCATGTCACGTCATTAGCTCGATATCTTCTTGGTCGAATGTTAGTTATTGATTCAGAAAAACGAATGTCTGTTGATGAAGCTCTTAATCACCCATATATTAATGCTTGGTATGAAGATTCAGAAGTTAATGCTGTAAGATTATCTTCACATTTTAATTTAATATACAAAATTTTTCTTCAAAGAATGCTTCTGGTCAATATAATCATTTAGTTGATGAAAGAGAATATACTGTTGAACAATGGAAAGAATTTATTTTTAATGAAGTTATTCAATATGAATTAGATCAAATTAATAAATATTCAAATGGAGATAAATAACAATCAATAGATCAACCTATGGAATAATTATTATTTAATAATGAGACTGAACCTTTTTTTTTCTTTATTTTAAATAATATATATTATTATTGTATTATTCGTTAAATGTTCTTCTTTTTGTTTTCGTATTGGTGATAATGAGTACTATCTTTTAAATAAACCATACACTGGTTGACTTTATGTAAAAAATAAAAATTAGATCGACTTCCTTAGGAAATCAATGAAAACAGACAAATCAACAATGAATAGATCGACAAACTTTTCATACACCATTATTTTCTTAAAAAAAAACAAATATTTTTATTTTAGAATTATTTTGTTCCTATATTCATTTGTAGATAAGAATAAAGAATGATGCCTTTTCAACGAACATCTACACGTAAATCCTTGGTAATAACCAAAAAACCTCAACATAGTGTAAAACGTATTGGACGTAAGTTAGACATTAGTGTAATTCAAGTGTATTCAACCAAATACGTATATGTCGCTTCTCTCCATATTAGGTGGAATTCCAATTGACGAATTTATCCCAATATATCGACCAACTCGCAATAATGAAGCTATAGCAACAACAGCAAATACGGTATAGTAAGATTGATGAGAAGAAACTCTGCATGTGTAACTGTTACTCTATATTATGATCATAAATAGATCTTAAAAAATAATTCGTAACCTTTCTCAATGGTTATTGTAATCCTAATGAGATGAATTAATTATTCTCCTAAGTTGAATAAACAATTTCGAAATGAAAACTTCCAATTGTTTATCAGATTGTTGCCATCATTTCATCATAATTTTCCATTTTAAAATAAGTTTTCATCATGTGTTTAAGTACTTTAAAAGTGCAACCATATTTTTCACCACTTTTTATTTTTATACAAGAGCTTTTTTAAAATTTTTAGTAGCAGCAACTAGATCATCTTCTTTTGAAGCTTTTCCATTATAATATTGATTTGAAAGAGCAGCATCGGGTTCTTCTATTTTGACAATTACAATCAAAATCATCATTACTATCCATATGATTAATTAGTCAAACATTATTTTTATCGTTGTCTTTTTAAATCTAAAACAAAATAATAACAAAAAAATTTAACAATTTCAATAGATAAATGAGAATATCGTCTAACTAAATCATGAGAGTAATCATTAATTAAAAGTCGATTATTTTTAAGTATATAAAAATATTTTTTTCGAATATTTAAAGATATTTTTCGTTCTATTGTATTATATGTGAATACTCCAAACATTCTTTTCATTAATATGATTACCATTTAAGAAATATTGTTCGCATAATTCATATAGATCATTCAAAAGAAATTTATCACTTAATTGAATATATTATGTAACGTTGAATTTGTTAATATATATAAATGTAAAAGACTATTTGAGAAAAATTAATGAACATTTATTTCTTTTGACATTTTTTACTAAAGCTAAAAAATAATGTTTAAAAATAAGATAAACATGCTAAAAGTATTGCACGATGACATTTAATTATACGTTTGATTATGTACATGAATAATAAGATGACTAGTATCAATTAAATCAGATATTGATTTACAATTTAAAAAATTTTTTTTACGTTTATTTGTTCTATTATCTGACAAGAATTCATTGGAATGAGTCGACAAAATTTGTTGATTCATTTCTAATATTTTAGCAAGCCAATCATCTCTTCAATATTAAAAAATCTTTTTTTCTCATTTCTCTCCGGCCATTTTTCCAGAAATGATGAACCCGACCGCGGTGTATTCATTTAAATAATTGATCGAGAGTATATATATGCATGTCATCAGCTAAATGACATGTACAACACACAGTTCATAATAGCATTCAACTTTTTGTTTAATGTATTCATTGACCACTGAAAATAATGACCATGACAGTTCATGGATCACTGATGAAGAATTTGAACAAGTGAAGAGATCTTTTATTTTTATTTTTTTGTTATAAATAACTCTATTGAACAATAATATCTTTCTATTCTAGAATGAATCACCTGATCACCATAACAATCTTTCAACACAAGAAGCTTTTATAAATCTTATCTTACAAACACAACAAAATCAGAAAGAACTCATCAATACCATAATGGAATCTGTAAAAGAACAACAATTAGTTCAAAAAGAATTTTTTAAAAATATTTTTGATTCTCAAAAAGAACAACAATTGGCTCAAAATGGTTTTTTAAAAAATATGTTTGATTCTCAAAAAGAACAACAACTGGCTGAAAAAGAATTTTTTAAAAATATGTTTGATTCTCAAAAAGAATTTTTTGAAAATACGTTTGATTTTCAAAAAGAAGAACAATTAGCTCAAAATGGATTTTTTAAAAATATGTTTGATTCTCAAAAAGAACAATTAATTCAACAGCGAGTTACTGATGAACAACAATTGACTCAAAATGAATGTATTAAAAATATGTTTGATTCTCAAGAAGAACAACAATTAAAAAAGGATTGAAATATGTAGAAATTATTATAGAAATAAAAAAGAGACTTATTAAATATCGTAGTATTTGATACAAGGGGGGGGGGGGGGGAAGCGGATCCTGGATCCTCGGATCCTGATGGATCCTAGTGGATCCTCATGGATCCTGGTGGATCCTCATGGATTCTGATGGATCCTGATGAATTGTGGAATAAATTATTTCAAATGTACAAAAGCGAGGGTGGAAAAAGCTGATACTAATGGATATCAGGATTCATTAAGGTCCGACGAAACTAAATGGAAAAAGGGGAAAGTAACTTCAGAATTTTGTGACTAAGAAGAAAAAAAGATCCAGGCCACTGACGTTAGTGTAGTATTCTCCATAAACCTAGGTTTCACATATATCTTTTCCGAAGGGAATCTGGAGTGCGCTTGCAATATTAGCGACTAGTCATTCGTCCCCGTCCCTCCGCAGCGCCACTCACGGCTAGTTGCTCCATTATTTGAATACATTAAAACACTAGTTGGTCATTCTCCATTTACTATAAAAGATGTGATCTCATTTACAAATATCTTTTATATTAGCTTCTTCGAGTTATAGTGACTATATAGAAATTACACAAGTCAGAACACCTGAAAAAAATATGTGAATAATTGAATACTTAGCCAGAAAAAAAAATAATGAGAGTAGATTTAAATACCGATAATGTCGAATCGACTAAAACTAGTCTTTGACTTTCAGAAGTACTTGTCGACGTGGATTCGGATGTTGGTGGGACCTTGAATGCGTTTTTGTGTGAATCCAATTCTACGCGTTATATTTTTCTCTGGCACATATCTATTTCGAGAACCAGATCTAGATAGGACAACTTACAATAAAGCTGATGTGATCCAACTCATCAGCTGAGGTCGAACGCACACCATCTAAAAAAAAACACTAATTGCACATTAGTAACACAGAAAATGTGCGAATTACACATCAACATTTCATGACCAAACCAGCTTGTAAGAAAAGATACGAGAACACATTAAATTACTGCTAGTCGAATAAAGCTTCACAGATTCATAGTCGAACACCGAACATATTGAATTGGCTCTACTGGCGACCTGAAAAACTTCATATATAATTGATGGTACTCCGATTATCAACCCTGTAATCACGCTAACGTATCTGAATGCATTACTTTCCCATTGACTACCATATCACAAACTCATTTTATTTCATATGACCCTTCTGGGAGCCGAGAGAAAAAAAGTTCGTTTCTGATTGGTCCAATTTCTGCCCAATGAAAGCTCAAATCGAAAAACCAAGTTCATATTCGGATTTCTGGATGTCGATAGCCTTTTGCCAAGTTTTATCAAAAGGTCCCAAACACCTCAAAATAGAAAAGCTCATTTCCGATTCGTCGGCATCCTAGCCAATGGGAAGGCGGGATACAATATCCGATCTCAGATTCAGAATCCTAGCCCTCAATAACATATAGTAGAGTTTCATCAAACTGTGCAAAAAACTTAAAATAAAAAAGCTCATTTCTGATTGGTCGACTTCCTAGTCAACGGAAAGGTCGGATGTAAAATCCGACCTGAGATTCAAAATCCTAGTCCTCGATAACCTATAGTAAAGTTTCATCAAACGGTACAGAAAGCTTAAAATAGAAAAGCTCATTTCTGATTGGTCGGTTTTCTAGCCAAATGCGAAGACCGGGCGTAAAATCTGACCTTGAATTCGGATCTCCCGACCTCAACTAGCTTTAGGAAAACTTTAGAAGTTACGCCTAAATAAACTTCCCCTCTGATGTTTTTTTGACCTTGCCACAGACAGACACACAGACAAACTCTTTTTACTTTTTTTCATATAACCCTCCCTACAGTGGAGGGAATAATGAGTTCTATTGAATCCTAGCGGATCCTGATGGATCCTGGTGCATCCTCATGGATCCCAGGATCCACCAGGATTCACTTTTTCCCCCTTGTAGTGACGTGCAGCGACATAGAATGTATAGAAACAACAGATTTAAATTACTAATTAATCAAAAATGCATTTGAATAATATATATATATATATATATATGCATAGTTTTCTTTCTGGGTAACTGTCTCCTTTAGAAACTAAGTGTGGAGAGTAAGAAAAGAGCTACATCTTACCTATACGAAAGTAAAATATAACTACATGTTGAATTAAGGCTGAGATGTTGTAACAAAAAAACTCGATATCGCTGTAGCAAGAAGAGAACGAATACGAAGTACAAGTATATTCATTATCTGATGAAGTACATCTTAATCGTTGTTAATTTGCATGAATGAAAGGACTGAACAACGAAAACACTATCATGTTACGTTCAATTTGAATACTCACGATACTCTCAAACGTCTGAATTTTCTGTAAACAAAACTTGTCCCTTTGAAATTTACTATTCCTTCATTATGCGAACCCTTATATGTGAAAAAAAGAATTCTGGCTCATCTATAGGCAAAGTAACTCTTAGATAAAAATATAATGGACTAACAATTCTTTCGCAACTATTCGAGGGTGGGTGTGGGTGTGGGTGTGGATGTACGGATCTCTTTAACCACACCCATACGCACATCCACATCGACACCCACACCCACACACCCACACCCCACACCCACATCCACATCCACACCACCCACACCCACACACCCAATGTAGATGAAGCCACCGATTTGTACACGGTTTTAGCGTTGGTTGTGAGTTGAGAAAAACTATATATTGAGATTATAAGTAAGTATGGCATATGCTTTGTGCGTATGCATTTATTCATACTATTATTAAAATTGATCCATTTTTCATAATCCAATCATCGAATAGATCCAATTGCAAAGGTCATTAATGATACCATTAGCTTATATATCTGATCTAAACGTGATTAATATGCAATTCCAGGCAGTTATGTTCTTTACAGTGACTTGACTATCAACCTATATTTCTATTCCTAATTATGACACATCAATGTTTATGATCATCTTGTCTACGATTTACCTCTTGTTTTCTGAACGGAGGTTAAAAAAATTAAGAGATAAAAAAAGAATGTTTTGTCTCAATATTTGTTGATAGTTTGTGATTGTTGAATTTTTTTATCAAATAAATGTTTGTTGCTAACGAGGGAACATTCCCAAGTGATCCGCTCCGTTTGCCTCCATATTTTGCCCATATGTAGGGGTTATTATAGTAAGAAAAAGCCTAAGAGGATTTGGGCTCTTATTGCTTCTTTCAAAAGTTATGAAGTTTTTCGTTTTCTATATAGTAAGGTACATAACGCTAAAATTTTCATTTCTCAGTAAAACAATGAATCATTGGCTTAATTTTTTTTCATAAATGCATTTAGCACCTATCAACTTTAAACATAATTTTGTGTCATTAAACTATAATACAAGACATTTTACGGAATTTACCACTGATTCGGGAGACCATTAATTTTGCAACGATCATATAGATACCTTCTTTGCTCCTTTTTTCATTACACACATTTCTCTTCACTAACAGCTCGTTGATGAGCCATTCGTTTACTTCTTATCATAAACCAAAGAACAGTGATAAATGCACATAATGTTGTTCGAATTCTTTCGAATTTAGTTTCAAGGCGATTACCCTCTAGTGAATCAACTACATTTTCTGCTAAAGACGAAGAAGTAGCAGAACGTCTTTTCGATAATATTAACACAATTATGAATAGTACGACATATCATTTTGAAAACGAAAGTAGTCTTGACTATAATGTTAATCTTGACTCGGACACAGAAGAGTCCGATACAGATAGTGATGAAACTACTATGAATGAATTAGACAAGACCGATTATACAATTAATAATAGTGATAAAAAAAATACTCTATTAAATCAATATTCTTTAGAATATATGGATAAGGAAGTGCAGTTTTATGATGAAAAAAATAGTAAAACTGGTAAAAGAAAACATTCTGGGAACATGTTCCACCGTCACTTCAAAAGAGTTCCTAACAGAGGCTATATTACACATTTTCGAAAATACTTGGCATCGGGAGGTATGAAAAGACATAAAATAAATCAAATTGACACTTTTGTTTATGAGTCGTTTGAAAATGCTCGTGGAAAGCTACTTTCAGTTCATGATATTGATCTGCGACGGTGGGGGTTGAGAAAAGCTAAAGAAATATTTTTGAACGATTTTGTTGCCAGTGAAAAATGGCTTTTTGATTTCAAACATCGGTACAATATTTGCTCGAGAAAAATAACCAAACTGGTAACCAAACGAGAGGTTCAAAATGAGCAGGAAATCTATAAATCTGCTAATGATTTTGTCTCAAATGCTCAAAAAATAATAAAAAAATATAATGCTGATTACGTATTGAATACTGATCAGTCAGGCTTGCAACTAGAATTATATTCTAACCGAACCTTGAGTTTTCAAGGAGAAAAAACTACTCTGGCTGCTGTATATTCTGTACATAAGACGACACATTCATATACGGTGCAGCCAATGATCAGTATGAGCGGCCATCTAGTGGGACCTCTATTTCTTTGCTTAAAAGAACCTTCTGATCGATTAACTGAAAATGTAAAAAAGAGTCTTTTTCAGGCTAAAAATATTATTCTAACGTGTAGTAAGTCTGGTAAACTCTCAACGTCACTTCTAAAATATTGGCGAGATAACGTTTTAGAACCTGCAATCGGAACCAACAAATTTCTTTTAATTTCAGATTCATGGGATGCACAAAGCAACAAAACGCTTTATGAAAAATTAAAAAATTGTCAAAGAATAGAAATACCAAAGAAAACTACTTCGTGGATTCAGCCGTTGGATGTCTACTTCAATAGACAGTTTAAGGCTAATGCACGAAAAAATTATGACCACATACGCCTCGATAATATTGATATAAATATCAGTCAGAGAAACAACATCATCACACTGAATTCTCTCATTCATAACCAGCTCTCTTCTAAACGATTTGTTCCAATGATTAAATACGCTTGGTACAAATCTGGTTACATAAAAGACCATCCGGGGGCCTATCAGAACGTAAAATAAATTTGTTTTTCATTTACCGACATTTCTTGTGCCAAAAAAGGCTGTAATGATACTTACTTTATAACCTGCAGTTGGTGTCAAAAAACCTTCTGCTTTCATCATTTCTTCGAAGTATATCATATGCATTAATCGTCTTTTGATCTATTGTTCGAATACCACCTGGTTTTCCCTCATAGCTTTCTTTTTTTACTTATAACTGATTTCATATAAGCAGGAGATTATCAGAAAAAATCTTCATTTATTCAAGCTTTATTTTTTCTTCAACGTTTTGCTTATCTTTAGGTGTTTATTTCTAGGTGTTATTTTACAAAAGTCTCGAAAAGTTAAAAATGGCGAAAAGAAGGGAAAAAATTGAAAAAAACAGCAAAAAAAGTTTTAAAAAGCGACAAAAAATTAAAAAAACCCTTTCCGAAGTAGGAGGCCTCTTCGTGGCGGAAAGGAGACAACGGTTTCCTTTTGATCCTTACAAAAGATACCGGCAAACTATCCTACTATTCTATACTGCGCCAAAAACATTTCAAGTACAATAATCAGCTGGTAAGCTTTTACAAGATCGTACCTCTGATCCTGTATGATCTTGCCGTCTGATCGTTTGACATGGGTATCTTCTCACAACCAACATTCTATAACACGTTGTGTATTATAGTTTAATGACACAAAATTATGTTTAAAGTTGATAGGTGCTAAATGCATTTATGAAAAAAAATTAAGCCAATGATTCATTGTTTTACTGAGAAATGAAAATTTTAGCGTTATGTACCTTACTATATAGAAAACGAAAAACTTCATAACTTTTGAAAGAAGCAATAAGAGCCCAAATCCTCTTAGGCTTTTTCTTACTATAATAACCCCTACATATGGGCAAAATATGGAGGCAAACGGAGCGGATCACTTGGGAATGTTCCCTCGTTAGCAGAAAAATTAACTATAGCTATCAAGTTTAATAATATTATTTAAATAATCAACGATTTCCGTATTTTTAACTTCATCCAAACAACTTCGATAACCTCATCTTATCGAAGTTATAACTTCGATGAAATAATTTATAGAAGTTGTAGCTTCGATAAAATTTTTATCGAAGTTATAACTTCGATAAACATGCTAACTTAGATACGACATATATATGGAATGATTTTCTTCTATGAAATCATTCAATACAATTAAACACTCCGGAGTGCAATAAACATTTATTACAATGAATTTATTATTATTTGTATTTCAATTGTTAATAAGGTATGTTGCCTCTATTTTTTTTTCTCAATAAGAAGAATCGAGGGATAGTAGTGTAGTAAATCAAATTAATTCTTTTTTTTGTAATTGAACAGTTCTATTGGCCACTAGAACTTTTCAATTACAAAAAAAATGTTGTTTTTATTCGTGAGGGGGTTATCTTTTCCTTTTTTTCTATCACACCCTTTCAAGTGGCTTCGTAACCTGACCCAGGAAGATTTCTTTATGTCTGTGATGGCGAAAGCAGTGTTGTACTCGGGAAGGCCTTCTGTGCGTAGGTCCCTGTTGTCGTTTACGTACGATATACCTACGTGCATGCCCAACCAGTCCGGTGAGGTCTGCTCTGCGTGTACCCATGGCAGGCGTATTGGAGTCTTCCTGGTCACGCGCGCGCGTACGCGAAAAGGAGCCGAGAAAGAAAGTGAATAGCAAATCAATTTATTGAGGAAAGAAGAAAAAAAAAGAACAATTACATTTTTCTTCGAATTTTTTCAAATGTTTCTGTATATTCCAAAAGATCTGGATGAGTTGAAGGTAATTTTTCTTGAGCAATTTCTACCGCTTGTTGAACATTTTTCATTGCCATACTATATTTTCGAGTAGATAAATATAATTTTGCTATATTGTGATATACAATAGCTAAATCAGGATGATCTTTTGGTAAATTCTTTTGACGTATTTCTAATCCTTTTTGAAAATATGTCAATGCTGTGGAATAATCTTTCATTTCTCGATATGTTTCACCTAAATTTATATATGTCAATGCACATTCGAGAGGATTACATTGAAGATTTTCTTGAATATTTAATGCTTTTCGATGAAATGAAAGTGCTTTTTCATAATCACCCGTTAATCGATGAACATCACCAATATTACTGTATGTAATCGCCTGATGAGGATGTCCTTCAGGTAAAGCATTTTGAAAGATTGAGAGACACTTTTCGAAATTCTCAAGTGCTTTCGGGTAATCTTTTATACTGCGATAAATCTTTCCGAACCAGTTGTATGGAAAAACCAAATTAGGATGATTCGCAGGTAGAGTTTTTTCTAAGATCTTATGTGATTTTTCGTAAAATTCAAGTGCTTTCGCGTAGTCACCCATGTCGTTATACGCTGAACCAATGTTGTTGTAGGAAGCAGCCAATGAGGGATGATTCGGAGACACAGATTTTTTGTAGATTTTAAGTGCTTTTTCGTAAAATTCAAGTGCTTTCGAGTAGTCACCCATGTCTAAATACACTAGACCAATGTTGTTGTAGGAAGCAGCCAAATCGGGATGATTCGGAGACACAGATTTTTCGAAGATTTGATGTGCTTTTTCGTAAATTTCAAGTGCTTTCGAGTAGTCACCCATGCTGTTATACACTTGACTGATGTTGTTGTAGGAAGTAGCCAATGAGGGATGATTCGGAGGCAGAGCTTTTTCCCAGATTTTATGTGATTTTTCGTGAAATTCAAGTGCTTTCGAGTAGTCACCCATGTTTTTATACACCGTACCAATGTTGTTGTAGGCAGTAGCCAACTCGGGATGATTCGGAGGCAGAGATTTTTCGAAGATTTTACTCGCTTTTTCGTAAAATTCAAATGCTTTCAAGTAGTTACCCATGCTCTTATACACTGTACCAAAGTTGTCGTAGGAAATAGCCAAATCGGGATGATACGGAGGAAGAGCTTTTTCTCTTATTTTAAGTGCTTTTTCGTAAAATTCAAGTACTTTCGAGTATTCACCCATGTCGTCATAAACTACACCGATGTTGCTGTAGGAAAGAGCCAAATCGAGATCATCCGGAGACAAAGCTTTTTCTTTTATTTTATGTGCTTTTTCGTAATATTCAAGTGCTTTCGAGTAGTCACCCATTTTGTTATACGCTGCACCAATGTTGTTGTAGGTATTAGCTAGTGAAGGGTGATCTTCTGGGAGAGTTTTCCGACTGATTTCGAGGGCTTTTTCGTAAAACGTGATATCTTTTTCATATTGGCCTTGTTGGGATTTCACTATACCTAAATTGTGATAGATATGTGCTTTATCGCTGTCCTCGGAGGCCTGTTCTAGTAATGCTGTGTACAATTCTTCGGCCTTGTCAAATTGGCCTATTCGAACCAGCAATTGACCCATTCGATCCCACCCAGTGCGACCACATGTTTCTTGTCGTATACGATTGGTTAATTGATGTAGTTGTTGATCGTCATCTGCTGTGAGTTTGAGATCCACTTCATAAAGTGGATTCTTCGGGTCGATTTTTCGCACTTCGCCAATTCGAAAAACTGTATGCATGGAGAAGAGTATTTCCTCTTCTTCCTGATAATAACTCACTTCTCGGATTGAAGCGAATGGAGTAGATGATTTTGTTGGATCGATGGTCATTTGAAAAAGAACACCGACCATATCTGGTGCTCCTAAGGCACCATTGGCGAAAACGAGAGACACATCTCGATCTTTACTGGTGGATAAAAAGGTATTGAACGAAATGAGTCCACCTTTACTTTTAGTAATCTTTTCGAAGTCTGCCGTCTGTAGCCCCTGCCCTCGATAAAGTAGGAATGTCTTACCATGATATTGATTAATTTGTTTGTTGTACAGTTCTTCAATTTGTCGGTGGACATCACATAAATAAAATCCCATTCTGATAATAATGTCACCATCTAGCGTTCGTAATGCTTGATTAATGATTTGGTAAGTAAAACATTGGCTGGTATACCACCAAATAGCATTCGATGGACGATAAGTATCTTGAAATTCATCAATAATTTTGAGTGCTTTTTCATTACCTTGATATTGTTGTTGCCAGAAGGTGACCAAATCTTTGATATCTTGTTGATCATGTTCCATATCAAGGAGTATTTCCTTGAAGATTTGAGTATACATGAAAGATGGTTCTAGCTGATTGAGTTTTTCAATAGAACCATCTACATCGCTACTAATGATACTGATTATTGTATTATTTTGATTGCATTGCTTGACACCTACTTGCAATGCTTCGGTTATGGACTTGATTGAGTCGTGGACACCATTAATTTTTGTCCAATGTTTAGCCCATTCTATATGAAGTTCCTTGTTGCGAGAATAGATATATATAGTATCAAGATTTTCCATTCCGTGAATATTTGGTATAAGAGCTTGTCCAAGTTCACCAGAGGAGATAACGAAACATGTCTCCAGCTTATTTCCATTGAGTAATTCAATGCATTCTTTTGCCTTGCTGCAAATCTTCACTTCATTGACAACACCTCGCAGTTGTGAGAGAGTATGCTGACAATCTTCATGTTCTATATTAATATTTCCATCAACCCATATGACTAAATAGTTTTCAGCCATACGTCGCCTTCGTTGTTGACTCATTTTTGATGTAATATTTAATAAGTTGTATGAATAGAATTTATCTTTTGTATTTATACATTCGATGCACGTTGTTTTTTTTTGTAGATTTTTCTACGACGTCAAATGTGAATAGGTTGTTTTTTCGTCGATCGTCAATAACAACCTATACCTAGTATCAATCGAAGGTATGATTGTGAAAAAACAATTTAAAGGGAAAAAACCATCAACGTCATTTATGGTATGATTAGTTTTTTCTCACTTTCATTTACGTTTCATGTGAATCGTGACTTAAGTTTCATTTGATTAGATATGTTGTCTTAAACCTTGTATATTTTTTTTTCGATTTTTCAAAACGAGATTATTCTCTCTTGCCGAGAAGAACGAAAAAAAAACTAAGAACTTCGTGTGTAATTTTTTTTCTCATTATGCATACGATTGATATGTTGATAATGTGACCGAAATAAGAATAAACATTATTTTAGTTTTTATATAGACAAGTAACGCTCGTCGTTACGACTCGCTTAGCCCTCGACTGAATCCCGTCCATTCATTATCTATCATTACCTTCTAGATTTCATTGTGAAAACTATTGTTATATACACATACATGTATGAAAAAAACCGCATACTATTGTAGGAGACTACCACTTTCTAAAAAGATTTCGCTTTTCAATTTTCTCCTAGGATTTTCCAAATTTAACCGTAAGAGGCAGCTCACAGTTAGTCGCCGTGGTCAATACGAGCCACCACTCGCGACTGCTCGCTTTCGTATATGACACCAGTATGGTTTTAAACAGTCCTTCACTTTCTTCTTAATCCTTTCGCTCTGTGATTTGTTGACAAATTGTTAATGTTCCTAACCATTGCACGCAGTAACACACATTTTATTCGCATTTTTCTGCAAGACCTTCTTCCGTCTGAAGCTACAACGTCAGCCCTGTGCCTGTCATTATCGCTATTCTTGGTTCGTAACTCCTTATTCCAGTCCATTTATCGAGGATCAAAACTCATATCACCGCACTGAGTTTTTCGCAATTTCCAGACACTTTCAACCGGTGAGATTCGATCAACGAGCAATTTTATATAAATTCCGCCGGCCCAAGGTGTACCTTCGGCGAACCCGCCATATCACGGGCTAGTCGTTCGTCGGCGCCACTGATGGCTAGCCGGTTTC